GCGAGGAATCGACCCCGCAGCTATCGGAGGTAAGGCGATGTGCTAAACCGCTATACCACGTATATGCATGGATGGATGGATTTTCTATTTGTTTCCGCCATTGAAGATCTCGACTGGAATATTTTATTTGCTCTGTAATCATCATATTTTGAATTATCATAATCGTATGCAGTTTGATATGGTTTTTGCTTGCGTTTGTGTTAAATTAAATATATGTAATGTAAAGTAATGAAAATAGAATTTCTATTACGAGAATTATTTCACAGTTAGCTGTAAACTTTTTTGTATTGTAATCTATATAAATATATTTTTTTTAATGTAACTGGAATGACTAAGAAGCTGATGGTAAATTTAGGAAAATCGGGGTATAGAGTAATCATTATTGTCACGTATTTATTGAATTTTCGTGTAAAAATGATATCATAAAAAACAACTTGGTAAGTATGTGGTAGTCATGTGCCATACTTCTCCGTAACTGCCTAACCAATTTAATGACATTTTATACGTATTATATGCACTCGGTAAGACTGAGAATAGGTTATCTATATTTTATTAACTGAACTGATGTGGCTCACGCCAAAAAAAAAATTATGATTCAGCATTAAAAAATATATAGAGAATCCTTAATTGTCTCTCATCTACTATAAACAGCTATTTTTAATATCGATAATAATTTATATGGTAAAACAACGTTTGCCGGGTCAGCTAGTCATTATACATATACTTACTATATATACTGTGAATATATACCAAAAATCATGAAGTCGTTAAGGCGTGGAAACCTAACTCAAACTCATTATCGCATATATGTTCTAAAATTTATCGATGTAACCTTTTTTTTCCTGGATAATTAACACACCGCCATTAAGTCCCGTGGAAAGCAAGAGCTTATGTTATGGGTAGTAGTCAACTGATATAGATACTTAGGTATATTTTTTTTGTAGATACATACATAATATACATAGAAAACACCCAGACCATTACAATCATACTCATGAATACAAATGTGTGTACCGTGCGAGGAAACGAAGCCGCGACCATCGGAAGTAAAGCGGTGAACTAAATCGCTATTGAGTATCTATGATCCAACTTGTTTTACTTTACCATCGTTTGGTCGATATTTTTTTATTTTATCAGAAGGGAAAGACTGGTAACCGTACCACGCCGTCCACCTGTGTCGAATATCCATAGATTTATACTATTTTCATGTTAATACATAACAGTTACCTATCATTATGAGTTGATTAGATATCATAACATTCTGTGAGTTGTTATGTCCGACAGAATTGAAAAAAGGAAGGATTAGGATGATTAGGAAATTTGATATTCATAGGTTGTTTTGGTTTTGTGTAATTGATTAATGTCTTTGATAATTTTCCAATGAATTATATGGTAATAGTGGCAATCAATTTTTTTTGCATCGTAATATTTTCAAATGTTAAGGAAAAACATATACCGAATTTTTTTAGATAGATATGTATTGAAATAAAGAGTAATTGTTGAAATATGTTCTTGGGTTTGTTAGTAAAAGCAACGGTGACATTTAAAGTCGTAGATATCGATTTTGTTCAGCACTACTTCTCTAAACAATATATAATATGCATGTTTATATAAATTTTCTTGTAACTGTGATTAACTGAAACAAACTGTGATTAACGTCGGTGGTAATACATTTAAAAATATTGAACCTTATCACATTATACACCTTATTGTGTGTACATACATAATAATATTGTATTACCGTTTGTTAGCATATAAATGAAAAAAAAATCGCAAGTCGGTATTATGCTCTTTATCGTATTAGTCAATGCTGTATTAGTATATATAGTATAAATTATTTCCCTTTTCAATAAAGACAGCAGTTAGATATTTATGTGTTTCGGTAATAGTCCGACCCCCATAAATCGAATATGGCTGCCCCCATCGATCGCTGTAACATCCTTGACATTGACGCTGAAAGTAAACACAGATGGAACTGCTGAATTATATATATCGAGTTGTTGGGAACTGAATGTTACCCCACGTCGAAGCAATTAGCTAAGTGGTATTTGTGTTCGTGTTAGCGATCCATCCCGGCTTCGAACGGGTGCAATTTTTTTATGGTTTTGTAATTTGTTCGATAAGGTATTAACACATTGACTGTGAACTACGAGGTAACTCATAGATTGCGATCTTTTATACGACGCCTCTTTATAATAATAGTAATATCTCAGGACAATTTCACATAGTGCCATGCAGTCCTAATTTAAGCAGGGATACGGTTATTGGTGGGGTCAGCTGCTGATACAAATACATACATGATGCACATATATTATACATATAAACCTTCGACTTGTATCACTCTATCTACTACTAAAAACTGCATTAAAATCCGTCCCATAGTTTAAAAGGATCTAAGCAAACAGAGCGAAAGCAACTTCATTTTATACTATCTAAAGATATAAGTATGACATGATTCTATGTAAGTTCAAGAGTCACAGAGTATCTATATACTCTGCAAAGAATATATTTTATAGAATTGTAATTGCAAGCTGATCCTGATGGAACGTGATTTTCCAGACTAAAAAGAACAAATTTCAAATTCTGTTCAAAGAGTGAGGATGACCATAGAAAAGTGGATGGACTGTCTAAATAAGAAAATGTAATAAAAGGAGAGTTAACGCAGATGTGACGGCTGGTAGAGATCGGTGAAAATTTAAATAAACAATATTAATTTTGCCATGCTGTAATCTTCAATACCTAAGGATTTTTTTACACAATGTAAATAAATATTATGTGTTTATTATTATAACGGTACATTTGTTTGTTTTTATTACTATTGACAAGTTTGTTATCAATTTGATGTGTCGCTCGGAATTTAGAATATAAATATAACAAGATATCAATTCCCTTCATAAAGTTCACGTTCGTGTGTCAATTTGCAATTGTCACTGACTCCCTGCAGAAGGAAATGTCGATAACAAACCGAATTTATTCGAGACAGTGCCGATTGTTTCGTACCCTCCCACATGATTGCAGTGTACTAACGAAATATGGACATGTTAATTGTTGTGTTTAATACGACGTCGATAATTGACAATGACCCTGCCTATCACGCCTTGCATTACAGTCGTTAGCATATATATATATACAGAAAATATATCCTACATTCATCTTATCTTAATATTATAAAGGCGAAGGTTTGTGAGTATGGATGTTTTGTTACTCTTTTACGCAGAAACTACTGAACGGATTTTGTTGAAACTTTACAGTGATATAGCTGATATACATCAGAATAGGCTATAAATTTCATGCGTGTGGAACCGCAGCCACAGCTAGTACCAAATAATTTTCTTAGCTTAATAACAATAAAATTATGCGATACCGTGTAGTGATCTTTACATAGTATAAAATGAAGTCGATTCCGCTGTCTGTTCGCTTAGATCTTTTAAACTACGCAACAGATGTCAATGCACTTTATAGCAATAGATAGAGTGATTCTAGAGGAAGGTTTATATGTATACCACACACCCATGCTACAAAAAAAATATTTTTATATTTTTTTTTATTTTCAAAATATGACATTTTTATGAAACTTATAACGAATAATGTTGGGTTTGAAGAAAAAACTTTGTATTTGCTATTATTTTAAATTTCATAAAAGTAATATTTATTTGTCAATGATTATTAGCACTTAGAATGTTGCGTTTGAAGAAAAGATTTTGTTTTACGGAAAATAGTAGGTGTCAATAAATTTGTAAAAGAGTGCTATTATTTTATATTTTATAAAAATAATACGACTGCACTGATAACCCTCTGACCTGTTCAAAATGGAGTCTCCAAGTCTGCTATTCATGATATTTGTGTTATCTCTTTTTTTTTAATGTAGCGAAACATAGCAAAGAGTCTGTTCTGTTTGTTTGTGAGATCGCATTACACAAAAGTTTCGTTAAAATTCACATAGTGATGATAATATTAATATGCCGAATTTGTATATGTTGGAAGTAAACTAGAATAATTTAATATATATATTTCGTATGAAAATTCTAACGACAAATCTAAAATTTTAAGTAAGTAATACTTTATTTTAAGTAAGTAGAATCGACAAACAACAATGACGGTCACCTAGCAACTGTTTGGTGGCCATTGTATGGCAGGGAAATTAATGGGTTTGACGGTATTATACCTTAGTCCTCTTGAAAGGCAACGCTTAGAGTCGTCCGACACATAACATCGTGACGTACTGTGACGTAAACGACATTTATCACTTTCAATCATTTCCAAATTTTCGTTGTTACCATGGTTACGGGACCCATTATAACTTAGTCTATTATATCTCTTATTTTATTATCATATGCACAAGTATAATGTACAATGTACATGTATACTCTGTTATTTATTTTTTAAACACAATTTTCATTCTCATTTTTCTAGGAATTTATTTACAAAGGGGTGCATAAATTTAACTCTTCTATTCATATATCATCTTATCTCTTGTACTGACGGTCACCGGTTATTCAAAGGAATTTATTTGAAGAGTAACCGAAGTAGACTGTTAAAAAGTCTTTTTTTTTGCGTGGGTTGCGTTGAAATAGCTACCATCTATTTCAACAGCCAAGCAGATTTCTTTATAAGTTCTGTTTCGGTTGAAGGGCCAGATATGGCAGCGAAATTACAGGATAAGAGGCATGAAATCTTAGTCCTCAGGAATGCCGATACGTGAGTAGTATCGAGGGCGTCACATGATAACGTGATGTCTGTTGTGTTGTTCATGTATTTAGGTGACTGTTACCACTTACCATCGGGTGACCCGAAAAATTAATCAGAGTGAATATTAAAAATTAACTAAACAATTAGTAGGTGTACTAAGTTAAAGTGTAAGTTAAACTACATACTAATTTTGTCCTTATATTATGGTCCGCTTTTTTTGTGAATAAAAAACTGTAAAAATTTAATAACGAAATCTTAAGTAACGATGTTTTCTAATAAGTTAATTCAAATATATCTTTTGTCATCCACAGAGTCGCCCAGAGAAACCTATATCCTCACTGGCGACTGGGCCTCCTCCTCCGGCGGCGATTCTACCACGATCATCAGAAGGCCCCACGCCACCGGGGTGGAACGGTCAGCCCCGAAGACATGGCTCCAGCAGGTTCAATGTGCACAATCACAACCAGGAGCTGGTCAAATTACCGTCTATCAAAGGTAATTAAAAACAACCCTAATTATATCTTCTTTAGTCATACACTCTTGACAGAGTGGTCGTGGCCTTCATTATGATATCTCTTCGTTGTCCTCTATCGATAGAGATCCTACAATTTGTCTCTATTAAGTACGGTTTTTGTCTGTACGAGAACATTACCTTTCTTTTATCTTTTTTTTTCATTACCACAAATATACCTCTATTTTATTTATTTGTATAGATGAGTATCAATGTCTTATAGTTTTGATTAAAAGCGTCCCACTTATGTAGAAAATTTAACCACCTTTAATTTCATCGAAATTTTCTTCATCACTAGAAAATGTAACAACTTTATATTGGTTCCCCGAGTCTAGAATGGTCCAGTGACGTCATATTGATACCACTTACCATATTTAGCTGGTTCTTAAGCTTACGCTCTATATATACAGTCTTCTATGTACAGTTGCATAAATTTACGTTAACAATTAATACTAAAGGTAGTCGTGCTAATGACTAGCAATTGATTGTGGCATTGTATCATACATAATTGATGAGAGTCCGCCACAGTGTATGTAAGTCCTTGGCACTTTACAAAACAAACTTCATTTGACTTAAAAACTCGGTCGTACGATGTACTTTTTATACATAAAAATACAAGCAAAGACTTGACTTAAAAACTTGGTCATTCAGTATACATTTTATGCATAAAAATACAAGTTTCAGTCAACAGTTTCAGTTGAGAATAATTTTTAACTCTTATTAAAACTATTTTCTTGGCAACAACAATATTATCACATTATAACATTTTGCATAAAAGAAGTTAGACACTCTTTGCTACGAACAACCACTACTGGATGTAACTTTCAGCAGCAGTATGGTGAATCGATTAAACTTTGTAACTTCTTGAGAATGAGGTATACTGTAGAAAGTCGTGCAGCTGGGTACCTCAGCCTCACTTACTTCAGCCGCCAAGCATTTTGCTTTGTAAGCTATTTTAGTAGAAAGGTGCGATTACACAGTGAAACTACAGAGCAAGATACAAGACATCTTAGTCCGTGAAAAACTCAACAACAAAACTCTTGCAATACCGCTGATATTGCAGGTGCTAATGGGCGGTGTTAATCTTTACAATTAGATAGCAGTCTGCTCGGTTATACAACGTGGTAAAATAATGTTTTATAATATTTATAAATCTCGTTAAACTAATTATATTAAGCAGAAACTCCCGACTCCCTCTGATAGATCTCATCCAAACGAAAGATCGAAACGACGACAGAAATAGTATGATGATAGCTTTCGCAAAAAAAAAGTCAACTCCTGTCTGACGACTCTGACTGGAGTTGACTTTTTTTGCGAAAGCGGATCTGAGACGCTTGCGACTAATTGCGGTGAGTATAATAGCGGAGGTACACATAAAAGAAAAGAAGTTGATCTGTAGTCGCTCGATAAGTTCTTCCGCGTGTTTGGAGTGCCCTCAATAATTGTTTCCATTTTGTTCGGAGAAGCTGTAAATGCCAGTTACGGCCAATAGCTTTAATGCTATTGGACGTAACTGGCTTTTACAGCTTAGTAAAAAAAATAGCATAAGTTCTACTATAATGTTTACGAAACCCAATAAGAATCTAATCTAGTAACGAATTATTGAACTTTAACGAGTCTGTCTAAGTACTGTATTCTTGTATCGAACAACGATACTAATCAAAAATATGGCTCAGTCTACCAAATCTGGTGTTACGATCATGAGTATATATCTATTTTTGTCGTTACCAGGTACAGTCGCACGATTATAGAACGCCATCAACTCTTTAAGATGTAATAAAATAACATAAATGTGCTGTAAGTCGTTGCCTTCTTTTATAGCAGATTGCTCATTTCGCGCGTCCCTGAGTCAAGCAGAGCATAAAGTGGTATGAGTGCGGACTCGAAGCTTTTTGCTGCGCGCCGTCACTTTGTACGGGTTCCGTTTCCGGCACTCGTTAGTAGCGTAACTATAGTATTTTGCAGTATACAGTAAAGAGGATGTTATCCACTTTATATACGTATGTTTCTACATAATAGTTACAAATTATAAATATTACACACTACGAAATACTAGCTAAGAACTTCGGCTTCATACGATATGCTAATGACAAAACAGCTTAAGCTATGTTAGAAATGGAATGTCAATACTGTCTATATTTTTTTTATTTTCGGATTTATTCTCATTGACATTCAATATATGAATCATTTTCTACCATACAAATATTGTCCTTTGTTACATTGTAGATATCATAGTCAGCCGATCCCCGATTTGTTCAACTACTGATAAAATATCATAAGAATAACTTGCATCAATGCCATGAATAATAATGTAGTTCGTAGTTCGTGAATTTCCCTTGCGTTCTAAATTTAATCAAAAAAAAAAACAAGCGGAAACATCCCTTATTTTTATGTATTTTATATTTATAGGGAACTGAAATGGCTGACGGCTTACCTGATGTAAAGTGGAAATCATTCACTGTATACCTGAACATGTTAGACTTATCCATATTTTAAATAGCAGTGTCTCTAAAATCTATTGTTTTATATCCACTTCTCTCACCGTAAACGTCTAAAATCTCTTTTATATCATTTATTATTACTAATATCGTAACATATGTCGTCTCTGTTGAGAGACGACATATGTTGTATGTAGGAACAACGCTTGAGGAATATCACGGGCCAACGCCCAACTCAAATGTTGGCATTCAGAATTTATGTGTCATGACACCGTAACCAATAATTTGACTGCCACGCTTCAAATCGGAATACATCTTGCAAATCAGGATGCTGAACAGCAATTATTCGAATTTAAGTTAGTATGATATTTAAAAACAGATAACAATACAGCAGTGGATAAAGTATAATAAAAAAGACGAAATGAAGGAAAGAAAATTAAAATGTTCTCGTAATTAGTCTACAAAGACAAAATCAAGAACAAAAGCATTAACTGTTAATTCATCAGCTTCCTATTTGCATAGCCATTCATTGCAGTACCTCACCATTCAGTCTACTTTGAGTGAAAGTAACATAAACCAGATAAAACTGATCTAAACCTCGTCAAACAAACAGTGCAGATAATGTGGAAAGAATTTCAATGAACAGTCACTCTTTAATCCCAGAGTCGTAATTCTCTATTTCCAACCTTCAAGATAAAGCAAGCAAATAAGCTCCTTGTATATTTTGTGGCTATTTTTAGCGATCTTATCTGTATATTTATTTTTATACATAGCATTTTGCGGTTTCAGGTGCTTGGGTTAGTAAATAATGTAACATTTTACAAATTTTTGGTAAAATATTCCAAATTTTTGCAGAAATTTTAGATGCTTCGCCCTTTTGAGAGTGAAAAACACATGATAAGTGTTGTCATTGACTTACATTTTCTATTTTTGTTTTGTTAGCCTTTTCTATATGTGTGCTGAAGATCAAATAAGTTACCCATATGACTGTCATTTACAGCATACACGAAAGATACGCTCGCGTTGTCTAAATAAATGATGATTTCAGTGGGTCAGATACTTCTTAGTACTGCCTATAGCGACCCTTTAGAAGAAAAATATAACTCATATTACTAGTTATTAATCTTGCCATCTGTAAGTGAATGAATTTAAAAATCGATTAGAAATTATTTAAGTTTATCCATTTTTAAAGAAAGAAAATAATCTTCTTTTTGTATTAGTTTAGAAGTAATGTAATATGTCTATAAAATCGCATTGACGTTATTCAATATATACGAATGAAAAGATTCGCAAACAAACTATGTAATAATAATGTTCTTATAGTGTTTAAGAGTCAAAGTGGAATCATTTAGTCATATATAAAAAAATAACCGTTTACGCATAATTCTCATCTTTAATTGCATTAATATTCAAAAATTGTCGTATCCTCGATTCCCTTTGCTGCTTGCTGTACCTAACTATGTTTAGACTTTTTGGCATATGACATAATACGAAATGGGAAATGGCCGAACTGGCTCGTATCTCCTCTTTATTGTAGTAGTTATTATAGTTGCTAGGCTAACTTTAATCCTTGCTAACAGCCGGCCTTGGAAACCACATTTATTTATGGATTCTCATAGAATTAATCTTCTGAGCTCATACACTATGTTTGTCACCGAATTATCAACATTTTGATCTGTTATCTATCCTTAAGAAAATTACCACAATTCAGGAAAATATAACGGTGTTATTAAAACTTTGTTTGACAAAGTAATGTATAATAATAATATTTGATAAAATTTTGTACATACACGAACACTAGCTGAACCACGAACTGCGTCTCAATATTTCCCGTTTTTATGACATTTTCAGGTCTGTTTTGGTCCTATTGCTCGTAGAGTGATGCTATATATCCTTTCTCAGTAAATAGCCTATCCAACACTAAAATAATTTATTTCTGAGATTAGGAAGTTGAACAAAATGAAACTCTTCACAGCTTTATAATATTAGTATCAAAATTAAAAATGAATCTTACTTTCTAAGCGTCCGTAAAAGTTTCTAGACGTCCAGACGTTATTTGTTAGTATTTTTTTGTTCTAAAACCAATATGGCAGTCTTCTGGATTCGTACGGATGCAATGTGCTAGTGCTGTACTCCTCCGGAACGGCTTGACCGTTTTTTATAAAATTTTATATGCATATTCATTCGGTCTGAGAATCTACTACTTATTTTTCATACCTATATATTAAGTGATAAGATTTTTTTTAGCATTTATTTTTTGGTGTAATTGTGTTTTTTTTATAATGTGGCATTAAAAATACATACAACCTTAAACTTTTCACTCTTTTACCAATTATTCGACGAAACCCCTATTTTTTTAATAGCGATTTTAATTTATATGGCAAAACAACATTTGCGGGGTCAGTTAGTAACATTATATTTAATGGAATATTTTATAAATTTTAGTTGTGCTTTGTCACATGATATTATTCGATACACGATACAATCAGAATAGATTCTGGTACGAACCTTGTTTTTTTTTTATTTACATTTTAATTTACAATAAT